AACCACACACTCTCACACTCACACAACCATGGACAGAGGCACTTTAAGCTGGGGGCCACGTGTATGTCCGGTCAGAGAAGTGGTGGAACTTGCCAGCTATGGGCACTTGCTGGTAGGCACAGGCCTAGGCACCTGGAGGAAAGGCTCTCTCACCTGCCAGCATCTGAGACAGCTTGCTACTCTCTGTGGTGACAAACCTCAGCCTTTGTCCACTGCTTTGCTCTTAGTGCTTATAATGAATCTGCATAAGGCTGATTGACAGGGTGGATCCATGCAGGGACTGGGCACTCCAGGGCTGCTCTTTATACCTGCCTCATGTGCAAGGGTCCCACGACAAAGCCCCTTGCTGGTCAGCTCACACACCTTCTGTGTCCTGTGACGATCATGCGCAGCTTATCTCCAAGGTCCTGCATCTCGTGGATCTGGGCAAACGTCCCCGTGTGGTAGATCTCCTCCAAGCTCTCGACCACATCGGCCTCATTGCTGAGGGACAGCAGAAAGGTGCATGAGCCGAGCTGCAGGGCGCACAGCGTCAGGGAGGTGTGGGATAGAAGGGCCCTGCCAGCACCCTGGGCACTTTACAAACAGTGGCCTGGGGCTAGGGCATGGCTCAGTGGCACAGCACTTGCCCAACACACGGGAGGCACTGGATTGGAGCCTCAGCACCACATACTAAATAAAATAAAGGCATTCTGTCCATCTACAGCTAGAAGAAAAACAATTAAAGCAAAAAGCAGAGTGGCGCCCTGGGCTCCCACAGGGTGACCTCCACAGGGCAGCTCCTCGCCAGCTCAGAGCTGAAGAAGGGCTCTCTTCCACTCTCCTTTAACTTGGAAGAGACTTCCGGCTGGCTCGGTACTCGAGCAGCCTCCCAGGTGCCTTTTAACACTACAGGTCCTTGAAGCTAGATCCCTCATCTGGACAGTTTGCAGAGATTCCCTGCTAGGTGCTAGGGTGGAGCCAGGCGCGGCCAGCACTCTTCACAGAGCCCCGGGAGCTCAGTGCAGGAGCCACCAGCGGAGTCCTCAGCTGCGACTAGAGAGGCATTCTGCCCAGCCCTTAGCCGGGGCTCCTCTTAGGTCAAGGGGAAAGGTCCACGCTACTCTACACAGCAGGACTGCAGGGAGCCAGGCGCCAAGGCCCCTTCAACAAAAGAATGAAGGAAAAATGCCACTTACTTGTCATCTCTCTTTAGAAAGACGCCGACATATGGCTGGGCAAGACGGACTTTCCTTCTCAACAGCTCAACCAACTTCTTATTTTTAACCTAGCATGACAACAACCCGAGTGAAATGCAGGGCAGGTCTTCTACTAACACTCGACAGCTTTACCCTCTATGGACATGCCAACCTGACTCAGGACACTCATCAACATGGTCCAGGAATCCGGACCAAAAGGACAGGGCTGGGGTTACTGGAAGGGGATGGGGCAGAACAGTACTACCTAGTGTAGTGGTCCCTCCCGCGTTTCCAAAGAAAATTCAGGGGCTGGGACTCAGTGGTAGAGTGCTTGCCTAGCATGTGTGAGGCACTGGGTTTAATTCTCAGCACCACATATAAATAAATAAAATAAAGGTCCACTGATAACTAAAAAATATTTTTTTAAAAAGTATTAAAAAGGGCTGGGGATGTGGCTCAAGCGGTAGCGTGTTCGCCTGGCATGCGTGCGGCCCGGGTTCGATCCTCAGCACCACATACAAACTAAGATGTTGTGTCCGCCAAATACTAAAAAATAAATATTAAAAAAATTCTCTCTCTCTCCCACTCTCTCCCTCTCTCTCACTCTTTCTTTTTTTTTAAAAAAAGGACTGATTTCATAACTTAGCTGCTTATTGTGACTGTGCTATTATAACATTGATGTTGCTGAATCAAATAAAATAAAAATAGTTAAGATAGAAAGTTTAAAAAAAAAAAAGTATTAAAAAAAGTTCAAAGTAGACAAATGACCAGAACCAAGAAATTGCTTTAGCATCCCACTCAAAAAGCTGTTTCAGGGCTGGGGTTGTGGTTTAGTGGTAGAGCGCTCGCCTAGCACATGTGAGGCCCTCAGCACCGCATATAAAATAAAGGTATTATGTCAATTACAACTAAAAAATATTTTTTAAAAAAAGCTGTTTCAGTGGCAAAATGTCTGAGTTTGAAAATCATAACCATTCCGCTTTTCTTAATGTCAGGACAACATATGTGGAGGTCAAACGTGGCCTCTGCGCAGGCCACACTCTCACAGGAACTATCTCCTCATCCACCTGTGCTAGTCATGTTCACACCCCAGAACCACAGCACTCTTGGTGCCATCCCAGGGGCGGGCCAGGGCTCCATTGTCCTCCAGGAAACATCTGGCTGGCAGGGTGCACCCATCTGAGACTCAGCTGATTCCCTCCACTCATTCCTGGCCAGATCTTAGTTAATGAACCTTAAGCTTTAACAGGCACCAGAATCAGTTGCAGGACTGCTTAAACTGTCAGCGGGGCCCCAGCCATGCAATTTCTGATCCAGGAGGCCTGGGGTGGGCCCCAGAAACAGCGTTTCAAACTGACTGCCAGGTGACACTGAACCTGCTGGCCCAGGGACCACACCGAGGACCAACAGAGGCTCTTGCCTTGTGGTGGGAACACCCGACTCTATAGATGTATTTTTTAATTTTTTTGCAGTACTGGGGATTGAACCCACTGGTCCTCTACCAATGAGCTACATTCCCAGTCCTTATTATTTTCTAGGGCAGGATCTCACTAAGTTGCTGACGCTGGCCTCAAACTTGCAATTCTTCTGCCTAAGCCTCTGAGTAGCTGGGATTTCAGGCAAGACTACCACATCCAGCTTAGACATACTTTTTCTGGGAAGAAAGTGTGTAGTATCCAGTAAGAGGATGCAAGACCTCCAAATTAAGAAAGGCTGCTCCACATTCAAAGGCCACCAATCAGGAGAGAAGCTATTAGAGCAAGTAGTATTAACTACAAAATCAAGCATAAACAGATTTGCTAACAGGTTCAGAAATGTTTACTGGGTCCCAAAGAAGCCACCCCAACTTCTCCCCTGCCATCAGCTGACTGCTACACCCTCCACACCTATCTCTCCATCCCCATGGCAGAATCCTTGTTATTTCCAGGGTAACACCGACAGAAACACTGACGACCAGGTCTCCTAATGCAGTCCATGGTGACTTGTTTGGCCCTCCTGGCTAGCTCCAGATGGGCACAGGAGTTTCCTGAGGAGCCATCTCTCTGCTGGAGTACTGGGGCAAAGGGCATCTGTCATTATGGGGTGGGAGGCAAGCCTGGTGAACAGTCCTGGCCCCAGAAGCCTGGGAAGATAAGGCGGACAGCTGGGGGTGGGGTCAAAGCTGGGCCGGAGGCCTTCAGGGAGGAGTTCTGAAATGTCACCAACATCTTCCACGTGCACCTGCCACGGCACTCGTAGGAGTTGTCACATAACTTCTAACTTCCTCTGGGTAGCAAACTGCAGCAGCAGCAGCATCTCACTACTGAGGCAAACTAAGTGCCAGACACAGATCCAAATCCTTGACACAGAACTTCATATAAGTCCCACAACAGCTCCAAGCAGTAAGATGCTACTCTGATGTCTATTTCACAGACAAGAAAATCAAGGCCTTAAAGAGTAACTTGAAGAGTAGTGGGGCTGGAATGACTCCTTGGGGTCTGGCTCTGGTGTGTGCCCCAGAATCCATTACTCAACATCAAGGAAGGGTCTTGAAAAGGAGCTCAGACACACAGAATTGGAGAGGGGCTTTGTCTGTCCCTCCCCACTCGTGGGCTGCTGCCTCTCTGCACTGCCCTTTCCCCTTCCAAGGGATCCTTGGGATTTATTTATTTATCCAGACTCTGGAATGTGAACGCAGAGGCTGACTCACTGTGTGACCCTGCTTACAGGACTGACTGATAACCTTTCTCCTCCCTGGACTTGAGCTCCCACTGATTTTAAAGGGGAGGGGGTGGTAGGTGGGGGAGAGGCATTTGGGTTCTTCCCACTCCGAAAGCTGAATGACAAGGGCCTCCTGCAGTCACTGCTTTCCCCCTCTTACATCACCCTGCTCCTTCCCGCCCCCCTCATGGCTCTTCCTCTGAAAGAACCTGGTTTACTGCCTCTTCCACCTCCACATCTGCTCCTCAGGCCAGATGTTCACCGCTGCCTTCCTCTGCCTGCCCCGTGGCAGTCATCAAGAACACTGCTGAATGAATAACTCAGTCCTCCTTCCCCTCCCTCAAGCCTCTTTACCATCCCTCGCTCTATTATTCCTGGCGATCACTGCTGCTTATTTCATCCTCATAGAAGGTCAACTCCAAAGGCCGGGAATCTAAAACTACCTCACAGAGCACAAGCAATCAAGAAATGGTTGTTTAACGAGGAAATGAATCCTGATCCCAAAGAGGTTCCTAAACTGCCACCCGAGGGAGTTACAGAAGAGTAAGCAGGCTGCAGTACTGCCTCTGGTCCGCCCGGCCTTCCATCACCAGGGCTGAAGGGAGTCCTAAGCTCACGGAGCCCAACTCCTCTAACAAACCCAAGGAACTCAAAAGGGTGAGGCATTTGCTCAGGAGCACCCCACCAGTGCCGCGCGGACGGGACTCCAACTGCAAACTCTGAGAAACTTCGTAGAAAGTTCTGCGGCCTGAGGGCGCTACGCGGTCCCTCGGTCCAACCTGTCACTTGCAGAGGTGGGGAAACCAAGGCCGAGGCGGGGGCTCCCATTACCTCGATGATCTTGATAAAGCGCGGGAACACGGGGTTGCGGGTAATGGCGATGAGCGGCAGGTGCGGGAACACGTCCGGGATCGTCATGGGCGTGAGCGCCGTTATGACCGGGCCTTCCCCGGCGCCTGCACCGCCCCCTGCGCCTTCCTCCCCGCCCCCGTCGGCGGCATCCTCGCCGCCCGAGAATGCCCCGCTGCCGCGGCTGTTCGCTTCCCAAAGCCCTCGCCACTGGCCGGCGGCTGCCGGGCCTCGGCCCCAAAGCGCCCAAGGAGGCGAAGCGTCGCAAGCCCTCCGGCCTGTGGGCAGCCACGCGCCGGCCGTGGTCGGGCCCCGCCCCCCGGTGGCGGCCAGCAGCGGCCGGCGCAGAGCCCAGCACCGCGCCGCGCGCCACAGCCGCACGTAGCCTGTGCTCGCCGCCATGGCCCGGCCATACTGGGGGCGCGCGGGAATCGCGTCATTTCCGCTCTCCGGGCCGCGGCGCACGTGACGCCTGGCGCGTGCCGCGGCCCCGAGGAGGGCGTGGCGCTAGAAGCCACGCCTCTAGGAGGGGCTTGCGGTGGGCGGGGCAACTCCGTCGGCCTCCCACCTCACGCGCGGCAGAGCTTTCGGGTCACCGGGAAAGCTGTAGAAAGAACTGATGCTGCAAGCCTTTGAGAACTTGTGGGCTCCCTGTGCACGCGCTTAGGGGAGCGGGTGACATGCGAATGGCCAAGCTCTGGGCCGTGAAGTTGCATTCGAACTTCCCAGGAGACAGGACGCGCATGCCCACAATGACGGGCCCTGCGAGCCCAGGATCCAGTCGCGCATGCTCAGAATCCAGGCCACGCAGGGTGCTGCCATGTGCGCATGCCCAGGCACGGGAGCCCCCAGGCTGGTCTACGCACGCCCTCTCTGTGGAGCTAGTGCCCGAGGCGGTTGTAGGGCGGTGGTAGCCGTGTCCAGCGAGATGCTGGTGTGGACGCTGGTGGTGGCGGCGGCCGCGCGGCTCTGGGCGCCGGTCGGAGCTAGTCAGCTGTGCCGGTGGGGCTGCCCTCCGGGGGCTGGGGTGCTGCTAGCGGTGGGGAGGGCGCCGTCCTTCTACGTCCTTGAGGCCGCGGACCCTAGGAGTCAGGCTTGGTACTGCCCTTCCTCCCACCTTCCCAGCCCATCTCCACGTCCGCCAGCTTTACCCCGGGACTCCTCGGCCGCTTCCACCCTAGACTTTGTCCTCCAGTCCGTTGACCAATGGGCATTCCCCTGCCTTGGTTCTCCGCCGAAACCCAGGACAACGCACGTCCCTCGCGCAGCCTGCAGTCCCCTTGCACAGCCGGCCGGAGCTGTCCTGTGCCTCCTTCCACGTTTAGCTGGACCATGTCCCTGGTCTCCGCTCCCTGGGGGCCGGTAGTAGTACGTCCTCTCCCAGACTTCACAATCACCCGAGAGGTTCCTGGGGTTCCCAGAGCTCCTGGCCTGACCCCTGGGTCACAGGACTGCAGCCAAGACGTCGGTCCAGGCTTAGGGCTTTCTGTTCCCTCTGCCTGGCATGTTTGGCTTCCAGATTTCTCCATGACCAGTTCTTCATTCCCCCTTTTAGGCCCTTCTCCACTGTTACTTTCTGTCCCCTGATTCTTGTATTTCCTGTCACTAATTGCTGTTATTTAGTAATTCGCACCGTGAGCCTGTGGGCTCTGGGCTGCCCATTTCATTCATTCCTTAACCAGTACACTTCTAGACTCCGTAGACGGGTGGATAGTGTGCAAGGGCCAGGGGCCACGCAGATGCCAAAGCTCAGTTGGCACCCTCGGGCACAGGAGTGAGCTGTCACTCAGCAGGGACCTGCTTACTGTGAGATAGTCAGTGTGTGCCTAAGACCCTTTGGGTCTTTATGACAAGCTTCACAAATTAGTGATTCCTTCACCTCATTTAATGTGAAAACAGACCCAGGAAAACTTAAGACCCACTTGCTGAAAGACATATAGTTAAGTGGGGAGTAAGGTTTTCCTGTAAGGCTTCCTAGGAGGACTTATCTCAAGGTGTATAAGGATCAGTTGTGTCTCCTTCTCCCATTTCCCCCATGCTGCTGGTCCCCGGCCAAGCAGCGCAGCACCTAGGAATTGGTTAGAATTGGGTAGAGACAATTCCCCAAACTTACTGGGTCAGAGGTTCCCAGTCATGCGGCGCTCACTCAAGGTTCAAGGCTGAATCTCTGCTACAAACTATGCCGCCATTCCTACCATCGTGTAAGGAAAGAAGCAGGAAAGCTAATGGCTTGGAGCAGGAGTTTTATCTTCCTCATCTGGGCTCTGTGAATGAGCTTTTGGGAACTGACAGGCTCCATCTCTGTGTAGGCCTGTACATAAATCTGCTTCACAGAGCGGAGGGCCCACAGTTTCATTCTAGGGTCACCCACAAACCCTCAAAAAAAATCAAGGGCGGTAACTAACATAGTCTGAATATTGACTGCAAATGTGTCTGTTACCTCCAGGATTCGCACGGTGAGGACAGGAAAAGTGTTTAACGTCATTCAGCAAGTCCAAGGGGTACGTGGCTCCCCCCTACATGCTGCCTTGAGTTTTTATCTAACAGCTAGAGGGGAAGGAACATTTCCTCATATCTCCTGAGGGGCAGCAGTACATCAGGTCTCTAAGGAGGTTGCTTTATTTAATCCTTAATTAATTTTCCTTAGCAGTAGGGAATAATCACTCCCATTTCCCTAAAATCTAGTTGAGAGCTTTGATCAAGGAACCTACCAAGGGTAGGAGTGGGGTTAGGACTCAGGTCACCTGACCCTCCACCCACAGCTAGGTCTGCTATCACATCTGATAGATTTTGAAATGCAGTCACGTGGAGGTGCTCTGCGTGGCGCAGCATGGCGGGTAGCACCACGTTACCCAACACGTGCTTAAGATGCCTAAAAAGCAAATTCCCCTCCAAGGAAGCTTCCTGTTGACGCTAGGCAATTTCAAAGGTAGTCTTTCTAAATCAAGTCTCTGGATTCTCACATTCTGGCATAAGATTCTCCATCCTTAGGCCTCTCTTCTAAGTAATCATCTGGGTGTTCTGTTTGTTTAGAGAAGGGCTCTTTTTTAAAAAAATATTTGTTTAGTTGTAGATGAACACACTATTCTTAGTGGTGCTGAGGATCAAACCCAGTGCCTCACACATGTGAGACAAGCACTTTACCACTGAGCTACAGCCTCAGCCCCTGGAGAATGGCTCTTGCCATGGTGCCCAGCCTGGCCTTGAACTCCTAGGCTCAAATGATCCTCCCGCCCCATCCTCCCAAAGTAGCTGGGACAACAGGCGTGGGCCACAGTACCCAGCTACTATCTGTCAGTAGACAACATCTACAGGAATGAGGTGTGATACGAATCACACCTTTTATTTCATTGTGATTATAGATTGACATCAAACTGCAAAAATAGTCCAGGGCGGCTCTAGGGACCCCTCCCCAGCTTTCCTCAGTGACCACACTGAGGAAAAGTCCACACCTGACGTGACCACACTCTAAAACCAAAAGAGGAAAATGAAGCTGGGCATGGTGGCATACACCTGTCGTCGCAGGTAACCTGGAAGGCTGAGGCAGGAGAATCACTTCAGCGCAGGAGTTCAAGGCCAGCTTGGGGGACATAATGAGACGCCATTAAAAAAAAAAGAAAAAAGAAAAGAGGAAATGACATTGACACAAGCCACCTACCTAATGGATATTTCACCCTTTACATTTGTAATGTTGACATTGGGTTGTTCTTGTATTGCCTGGTTATCAGCATTGATCTCATTAAGACTGTGTGATTCTCTCTAGGATGTGCTGTATTTTCAGTCTGGAACCAGGTTGATTAAACATGCTTGTGATAAAAACATAGCACTGTATCTAGGGTAAGTGGCCATTTTATTCACCGTCTCCTTCCTTTACATTGAAACTTACTCATCCCACAAACACAAGCAGTGATGGTTTTGCCCTCATTGCTCCTAGCTGGCTGCAGGGAGTCCACGCTTAGGGCTAGGCTTGGAGAAAGGGGAACAGAGAGCAGCAAGTAACTAAAACAGTCACAGCAGAGCGTCCACATCCTGCATCTGTGGATTCCACCGACCGCAGACTGAAAAGATTTTCTTAAAAAATTGCATCCCTGTTGGGGTGTAGTGGCACACACCTGCAATTCCAGCTGCTAAGGAGGCTGAGGCAGGAAGATCGAAAGTTCCAGGCCAACTAAGTGAGACCCTGTCTCTAAATGAAATATAAAAAAGGCTGGGGATGTGGCTCAGTGGTTAAGCACCATTGGGTTCAATCCCCAGTAGCAAAACCAAAAACCAAAACCAAAACAACAACAATCAAATTCCAGAGCTATAAAGAGGTGCTCCTGCAAATTCAGTAACAGGTGTTACCTGGATGGTTCCTGGCTAAACAGGAATTTCCCTTGAACAGAACATTTTTAGAGTAACTTCATGGTCTTTTTAAATTTTCTTGTGTGAAATCGTCCTAATTTAACTCTTTTATGGTTTATTTCAGAAAACACGTTTTTCTCACGAAAGACAACTTTGAGAGTAGTCTCCTTCCACTCACCATCCCTACATCCATGACGGTAGTTACTTTACCAGATGGTTTGAAGGATGTTTAAGATTCGTAATATTCAGGGGAAGACAGAGTTCAGAAGCATCAGAGTGGCCTGCTTTTGTTAGTTTCAGGTTTCTTTGACAACGTGCCCTTTGAGGCCAAGAGCAATTTCTAAGCTAAAACCGGGTTGGTCCTGTTGTCTTCCTACTACCAAAGTGGGCTTTTTCTTTGAGAGAAAGGAAACACAATAGTGGCCCAAGGTCTTCCTTCCACTGTGTGCCCCGGAGATTGGATGGTATCCTCATTTCCTGAGGTCATTTCAAGTCCTCCCTAAATCGTCCTCAGCCAAAGCAGAACCACCCTCACAGTCACTGCTCGGGAAGTTCTGCCACTGGCCCCTGTGCTCCTGGCCTGACATCAGGCCCTGTCCAACAGACATCGAGCTGTGTCCCGGAGACACAGATGAGGACGGACAGGGGGTCGGGGGACAGCTTAGCAGATCCGTGTCCGGCACAGCGCAGTAACCGCATCCCCCTTTCTAGGTGGGCGTGCCAGAAGTGACATCAGCACATTTTGCCAACGCGTTACTGCTGTTGGTAGTGAATGGAAAAGTCTATACTTATGCCTACAAGGAGGATGTCTGGCAGACGGCGACAGGTGCGTGGGTTTGTGTTTTTGAACTTTGTTGGAGTTTAGCCAACATTTGAGAAGCGAGGATCAATTTCAGAAACATACATGGCCTTCCTACTTGGGAGTCAGTCCCTGGATGTCACCTTGTCTCCCCCCAACCTCCAGGTGCTGGGAATTGAACCCAAGGGTGCGCGCCCAAAATAAAACCGTCTGGGGAACCGCACTTGAGTCAGGGTCTCGCTGAGTCGCTGAGGCTGGTTTGGAACTTGAAGTCCTCTTGCCGAGGCCTCCGGGTGGTGGGCTGCCAGGTGTGCATCCCCAGTGTGGCTCAGTGGAGGAGCACTTGCCTGGGTGTGTGAGGCCCTGGGTTCCGGCCCCAGGACTGGAAAGAGGAAAAGAAGGAAGGGAGGGGGTGGGGGAAGGACCCAAGTGAAAATTGGCCGAAGCCTCGTCCCAGAGGGTGGGAACCCAGTGTTTCTGCCCCAGCTCGGCCTGATCGAATCAGAAGACACCCCCAGGACGTGGGTTTGGGGAAAGGACCCAGGAGGGCCCAGAGTGACTCCCCGATGTCTCGTGGGGATGCTCAGTCCCACATAGTGCTCCTTAGGGGCCCGGTGAGCATCCTGAAGAGGAGAGCAGGGAACCCCAGTGCAGGCGGCAAGGGGGTGGCCGGGGGAGCCTTCAGGGCAGCCCCCGCCGGGTGCCCACATTCTGTCCTGTCTCCATGTCTTGTCCACTCTGGGACCTGACGCAGGTGCGGTCCTGCCCTCTGTGTCCTCCTACTCCGGCGTCTTCACTGACCTAAAGCCCTTGAGGTCATCCACGTGGTGACCATGCCTACTCCCACGTGGGTGCCGTGCCCCCGGTGGGCAGACACTGGGGTCCTTTCCACCTCTGGCACGGCCTGCTGCGGGGAACACAGGGGCCAGGCCTCCCCAGTCCCTGCTGTCAGTGATTCTGGGTGTGTCCCCAGGGGCGGAACGGCATCCTCGCGTGACTGTGGGTTTCTGGGAACTGCGAGCATCCCAGCCCCACGCAGTGCACCATCGCCCTGCCCCATGTCCTCGGCACACTTGGGCCTCTGCTGTTTTGATCAGCCGCCCCCGTGGGGTGCAAGCGGGCCACCTCCTCGTGGCTTTGATCTGCGTTTCCCTAACCAGTCAGGGACTGTGTGGCTCTGGAGGAGAAGCCTCTGCTTTTAAATAGAATGAAAGGAAGAGAAGGGAGCCCCACCTGGGATTCGGCAGCCCTGGAAGTCCCCCGCAAGCCAGCAGGTCTCACTAGAATCCTGCGGTGTTCAGAGACACTTTCCATTTCCAAAGCCAGGGGAAGAGGCTACGGCACTGAGGGGAGACCTGTTGAGCCTCCTGTGGTGCCTAGAGAGGGCCTGCAGCTGAGGGTGACCGCCTCGCGTCCCTAGTGTCGAGGCCGACACACTCCACTCTAGAACGTTCTCTGATTGTGTATACAGTGGTATGTAACGATCACCTGTTCTTTTCAGGTATTCAGCATCCCGTTTCACACATCTCTGGTGACAATTGTTGTTTTGTTGGAAACACCTTTTGCACGGTAAGCACGATTTACGATTTTCCCTTCTTCACTCTGTCCCGAACACAAGTCATCATGAATGGGCCCCATGCCGGGCTCGGGGACGTCACCTCCGTGGAGCTGGGAAGAGGGCCTGAGAGCTGGCAGGGGCCCTGGAGAGACTTCAGATCAAAGAGCCCCCCCCTGTGGGCCTGTCTATCTTGTTTCAACAAACGTACCATTTTGGAAGAATTATAGACACTGTAGGGATTTGCTAAAAGACCAGAGTCCCAGGTGTCCTTCCGCCAGTTCCCCAGTGGTCACGCCTCACACAGGACATGGACACGGGAGCCACGCCCATTCCCAGTTCTAGGCCATTTTACCCCATGACCTCCAGAGCCACGGAGACAGCCTTGTTCTCTCTGCAAGGCACGTGTCTCGAGACCAGGGTGCCGGGCACTGAGGACAGCATGAGGCCACACGTGTGTGTGTGTGTGTGTGTGTGTGTGTGCGCGCGCGTGCGCACACGCGTGCACACTAAGCACACAGGTGTCTATGTGAACTATTTTTCATATACGTGGAGACCCATGGTAAAGTCCAACTTGTGATTTAGGTAGAGATCAGCAACGATAAGGAATGACAGAACAGAGATGGTCCCCTCCTGTGACCAGCGTCCTGCAGGATGCGGGGCTCTCCTTCCCAGCAGGGCCCACTGTGTCTTTCCTTTTCCCTTAAGGAGGCACTTGGACCCCTCTGTGGTGGGTCCAGTGGCCCACATGGCCACTCCCATGCTTGGGGCCTTGTTCCACGAGGTCGGGGCTGTGCTCTGGGAAGCTGTGGCATTCAGTGGATGGCCAAGGGGCAGATGGCACACACAGCGCGGAGGGACCCAGGAAGCAGATTCGAATCCAGCAGGTGGGAGAAGGTGCAAGGCCAGTTAGGGGAGCACCCGTGCTTTGTTCAGAGGTGGCCACGGCCATCGGCCAGCCCCAGCTTCGCTTCCGCCCCGGCCAGTTCCGCTCAGCGCCCCCCAGCCTTTCCTCTAGGCCCTTTTTCCATGGAGCCAAACAGAGGAGGCACCGCCACCAGGCTGCAGGGGCCAGGCTCACAGGCTGACATTCAGGACTCGGGTGGACGCCTCCACGCACTTGGTGTTCCCGGCCCTGGCCACACCACAGACCGCACAGTCCCAAGGCCTCGGCCGGGGCCGGACTCAGCCATTGCTGGGCCTCCCCCCGCGGCCGAACTAGGGGATGCTTCTCCCCCGGGCCAGGGGAGCGTGGGGAAGGGGACTGCGTCACACTGTGCAGAAAAGCTTGTTATTTAAAATTTATGAGTCACCCATTTCTGGAATTTTGCGTTTAGTACTTTTGGACCATGCTTGAATGAGGGTGTTAAGACCGAGGAGAGGAAGGCCGTGGGCAGGGGTTATTGTCCTGAAGAGCAGCAGCTCCTATTTTGGACGCCCACGTTGGTGGGGGTTGGAAGTCCTGTGACGGAAGCTGGTTCCCAGGACTGGTGGGTTAGAGACCTCTGAGTCTGGTCTTGAATCAATCTAATGGGGCAGGGGCCAGCTTAGCAGAAGGCCTATGGCAAGGAGAGGGGTCAGGAAAGAGAGGCCCTGGAGACGGGGGAGCAAGAAAGGAAGGACGGACGGAGGCCAGGCAGAGATACCCACGGAGTTTATTTGCCAGAGCTGAGGAATAAAGGCCGCCTCCCTAGATGGAGAGGGGGACAGAGGCTTGGGCTCCAGGACTTTTATGGGGCAGGCTCAGGGGTTAGAGCGGATTCCTGAAGCCGTGGTTAAGGGTGGGTTGGGGTGAGGGAGTGGGGAGCCCTTCTCAGAAGCGCCCTGGGGCGGAAAGCGAAAGTCTTTCTGAATGGCAGCTGTCACTGACGATGGCGGACCCGATGCTAAGCAGGGACCTTGCAGTTTTTGTTATTGGGCCCCTTAAGGGACAGGGGCGTAGGTCAATCTTCTGTGGCTTCTTCCTGCTGGGCAGGGGCGGCTTCTGGACGCTTGTCAGGGGTGCGGGGTGTCATTGGGGCCGTGGTGAGGGTCGGGGGTGATGCTGACCCTGGACGCCCACGTTGGTGGGGGTTGGGAGTCCTGTGACCGACGCGGGTTCACGGTTGGGTTGGGGATCCTTTGAGTCTGGTCTTGAATCAAGGTAATGAGGCAGGGGCCAGCGTCAGCAGAAGGCTATGGCGAGGAGGGGTCAGGAAAGGAAGTGCCCTGGAGAGGGGGCTGCTTAGCTGCCACCCTCCAGTTCCAGTGGCAGAGGGAAGCCTGGGGACCTGAAGGGGACATGAGTAATGAAGTCCCTTGGTGGCAAGGAACCCCGCTCCTTCCCGATCGCAGAGTGGGAGAGAGGAACGTGGGCAGCGTAGGTGGAGCCGGTGTGGACGTGGGGGGGCTCCCTCTGGCCCAGGAAGGCTCCGAGGAGGCGCCAAGCTCGGCTGCGATTGGACGTGTTGCTGGGGAGGTTCCAGAGACTGCAGCAGACCCTGCCTGGCCGACCCCCCAGGGCAGGAGGAGCCATGTGTGGGCCACGGGCATGTTCCCTGGAGCAGGGGCCTTCCTGGGGGGGGGGTGGAGGGAGCTCCCCCAGAGTTTAGTGCAGGGAAGGAGGAGAGGGGGAGAGTGCTGAGGGCAGGGGGCACGCGTGGAGAGTGAGACTGGCTCGTCCCCCAGGGGAGCCTGTGGAGACAGAGGTCGTCGGGGTAGGAAGGCTGCCCTGGTAGGAGGGGATTCCGTTCACTGATGGGGAGCCAGGGTGGCGAGTGGGGCCCCAGAGGTGGGTTCCTTTGACTCATTAATGAGTAGAGAGGCTGTGGCCCGTGTTCTCAGGCCAGGGGCCACCCCTGAGATAAGTCCCGGGGCAAAGGTTGATCCCACATCATGGCTCCAGGACCCCGAGAGCTGATCCCTGCTTTTTAGCCACCTGAAGGTGAAATGGGCGTGGGAGGTCAGGGAGGTGGAGAGGCAGGGAAAGTGTTGTTGTTTGCTTAGTTGCAGTTGGACACAAAACCTTGATTTTACTTATTTTTATGTGCTGCTGAGGATCGAACCCAGGGCCTCACATGCGCTGGGCAAGGGCTCCACCACTGAGCCCCAGCCCCCCGCCCCCTGCCCCAGAGTGAAAGTTTTGAAGTCCTCCTTCTGTGTTGTTGCCAAAGGAAAAGTTAAATTGACGCCCCCCAGGCCCCTGATCAAGCCTGCTGGCCCTGTGCTTTGTGGCCAGGGAGATGCTGCCCAGGGCTTTACAAGGCAGGAGGGTTCTGGGTCCCTTGTCTGTCTAGAAGGAGGGTCTCTGGAGGAAGTAGGAGCTGGGCGGGGGGCAGGAGGAGCGGGGAAGGCTCAGCGTGGAGAAGGGAGAGAGGCTGCTTGTGAGGGACTCCTTCCACTTTCCTGAGCGCTCGCCAGGTTATGAAGATGGGGAGGCAGAGAGGAGAGGCATAGATGTGGGAGGGTGTCGCCGCCGTTGACCGGGACGAGTCCTTGCTTCCCCAGGGCTGAGCACGGCGCCAGAGAAGCTCGCCAGGGAGGACAGCGGAGGAAAGACCTCTCCTGGGGCAGAAGGGGCCCAAAAGGCGGAACCCCTGGAAGGGATTCTTGGGTCTTCTTAGTCCCCCCAGGCTCCTGTCCTGGTCCCTCTATCCTGCAGTGATGGGGTGCTGGGGAAGGCCACAGGGGGAGACAGGGGACCCATGGGGCGGGGGCGTAGTCTGGGCAGCGGGGGGCTTTGACGAGCACCGTCCTGTTGCTGGGAGCTGCTTCATGAACAGCTCTCTAGGGGGCTTGGGGCCTTGGGGACATTTCCCCAGGTGTGGTTCCTGGTTTCCTGGATTTTCTGTGTCCGACTCCGGTTAGACCCTGCTGATGCCAACTACCTAACTGTCTTTAAGTCTGGCTTCAAGGAGGAGGGAGGGGAGGGCGAGGTCGCCTCCCCACAGGAGGCACAGTGAGGATGAAGAAGGAGCCCAGGAATGGAGGAGGGTGTGTGCTAACCGCCCTGGGCCCGGGGCCAGGGTGGCGCAGGCCTGGTCACACACACACCTGGGCCTAGAAGGGAGCTGAGGAGGCTGCCCTGCAGCAGGGGGGGCAGCAAGGGGGAGAGCGGGATTGTGACTGGGCAGAAAACGGAGGCTTTGGAGACGATGTGAACGGGTTTGTGGTGTGCTGTAAAGAATCTCAGAGAAAGAGGACGCAGAGACAAGGTGCGGAGGAGGAGAGGTGGCCGCGGGGCTCTGTCCAGCGGCCACCTCTATCTATGCCAGTCATTAGTACCGTAACCACTTTATCGCTCAGGGTCCAGGAAGGCTGCTTACGCGTTACGAGTTACGCGTCACAGCTACCGCTACCGTACGCAGGGCCAGGAGCTTTGTGCGGCCTCAGGGAGGTCACTGTGTGAGGTCACTGCTAGGCGGGCAGCTCCAGGAGCCTGGGGAAGCCTTGTGGTCATCGATCAAGCAAGCTCCTCTGTTCTGGGTTATGTGCCTAAGGTTAAGGTGGAAGCTGATGAGACTCCAGCACGGAGGGCGTTGCCATAGCAACCGGGCATCCTGTGCCTTGGCACAGAAGCTTCCCCAGGCACCAGCATGTCACAGCCGGGGAGTCATCAGGGACCCCATCCCAACACAGAACCCCTACAGTGTGAGGCGACAGAAGGGCTTGAAACATCCCAGACAGTAGGTCCACCCTGGGCAGGTAATGGGAGGCCCTGGCAGATGGACCAGGGGGTGGTCCTAAGGTGAGGCTGAGGATCAGGGGCGCGGCAGGTGAGTCTGGATGGAAGCGAAGAGGAGGGAGGAGGAAAGCGCAGCCCCCACCTTTGTGAGAATGTCTCTTCCCACAAGGGAATGGGCTGCTGTGGAGTGACCAAACGGGAGTGGGTGAAAATCGGACAGTCAAAGCCCAGACAAGGCTGGGTGTGTGTCAGGGCTGGTCAGGTTTGCCTTCCACCCCACAGTGGAGGTCACAGAGGTCACAGTCCTTGGGGACTGAGTATGTGGCCCCAGGGTCTAGGAGGAAGGGGACAGGTCCACCTGAACTAGGCAGAGTTACCCTGGGTTCCCAAGGAGTGACGGCAGTGGCCGGCCATGGGACCTGGGCCTCGTCAGTCCACCAGGTGTCCAAGGAGGGACCGACCGGCCCAGGAGGGAAACAGGCCAGGCCTCCGGGCTGCTGGGGCTGCCACCGGGCAGCAGAGTCCTGAGCACAGGCCCGGCCTGCGCGGCCCTGGCTCCTTTCCCAGCCCCGAACACCACCGAGTGCTGGTCAGCGGCCAGACAGACACGTCGTGAAGGGCCGCCGCCCTCCAGCCTGGGGTCAGCGAGACCCAGTCTGTAAAACGAGGGTGGCACAGGCTCAGGCAGGGCAGCTGTCCCTGCTGTTGTCCTGAGGGGTTGATCTCTGTGTGTTGCTTTCCCAGGAGATAAACAATTCCATTTTTGCATATTCGCGTGGAGAACAGGTATCGCAGACCACTATTTATTCCTCCGAAAACGGGGGAATAAGTTTCACCAATTTTACCTTCAAAAACCAGGTATGTTCAATTGGGCAAGAGAGTGAAAATGATATATGTCCTACCTGTTGTCCCCATTGCTCCAGAGACTGAGGCAGGAGGATGCTTGGCCAGCCTGGGGGACACGGTCACCAAAACATAAGCAAATAGATACTCACACACAGGCCCCCGCTGCAAGATGGGCCGTGGGCTGGCAGAGGACGAGCGCAGTCTCCTCTCTGCAGGGTCCAGCTGGCTTGGGGGTGGGGGGACACTCCCAGGGAGTCACACTGGGAAGGAAGGGGGTACGAACATGGCGCCCATGGGAGAGCACCTCAGAGAGCTGCACCACGTCCACTCCCCTCACCCAGACAGTGCCCTCAGCCACCACTGTGGCACCCAGTTCACAGGTGGGAGAACTAGAGTGGGTAGGATCGTGTCCCCTGAAGATGCACGTCCCTCCGGACTTCAGAAGTAACAGCCTTAGGCCATCTGTGTCCTGTGCAGTTACCCCAGACTGGGTGACTGGCCAGGAAGAGAAGCTGCTCCCAGCCCTGGGGCAGGGCAGCCAGGCGAAGGCTCTGGAGGGACTGGCCTCTGGCCAGGCTGCTCTCTGCTTCACAGAGGGCGTGCGTCACGGTGCCCCTGTGCTGCTTCAGCCCTGGGACCCTGTGTCCTCGCATGGCAGGAAGGGCAGGGAGGAAGGGCAGAGAGGGAGGGCAGGCAGGGAGGG